ATATGATTTTTAACTGGTTAGTAAAAGCACGTTTCTTATTTTCAGTAAATTGTATCCTTCGAGCAATCAGAAATGTTTGTATATGTAAACTACCAGATATTGTACAAGGAGTGGCAATATTTTTGGCCAAAAAGCAAAAACTGCTCCTTCAAGGATCGTTCAAGGAATGTTGTTGCACTTATAATATTTTTCTCTCTAATATAAGTCATCCGATAAAAGATCAACTATCACATCCTCGGGCAAAAGTTCGTATCGAATCGACGATCGTTAAGTACGTGGATCGATCGCGAGAATGATCGAGTTTCTGCGTGTTGTCTGTTCGCCATCGGCGCGGTTGTCCCTCGTAATAAGAGAAAGGTACGAAAAAACGTGGCACGACCAGCGTGTACAAAGTGCACGTTCGATTTAAGATGCAGAGGGATCCAGTTTATCCGGATGTCGTTTATCTAAAACGACGATCGGCTGAACGCGGCTTATCCGGAGTGGTATACGGATCTCGTCTACCAGTATGTCGTACGACCTTGTCTTGTATCGAGCACACGTCCTGCGGAAACTCGAGCATGCGTTACATCTATCGATTCGATGCGGTTCTGCCCATCGATGCGATCGAGACGTTTCTCCCCCGTTTTTTTTCTTTCTTGTTCGATAAATGGTACCCGATTACTTCGAGACAGTAAACCGATGGGAATTCGAATTCGTGCAAGGATTGAAATTCGATGCGAGCAAAGACCCATTTTCCCTCTAACTCGATCCGCGTTGTGCTTGGATCGACTATCGGAAACGAGGGGAAACAAATAACGCGAACCGCTTGTCGAAGTCGAAACAAACGATATGAATAAATGGAGCACGGTCAGACGTAACGTATTAAACGTTTCGATCGAAGATTAAAATGTAAGGGAACGTACTATTTGAAAATCGTGTCGCCAAGAAGATCTTATAACTTCCTTTCACAGATTATACATTTGATCGACAACTCGGTAACCAAATTAAATTGAATAGCCGGATAGACATATTATTTTATAAATATTCCTCGTTGAAAATTTCTTAACTAGATCTCGATAAAGTCAATACTGAAATATTTAGTTCACGAAACGTTTTTTCGACTGCCACTGCGTCCCTTTGGTGGTTGTTGAAGTTCCTTGAATAAACTCGAATTGTAAATTTTATTTCGTCTGTAGCGGGGAACAGGAATTTACATTGAAGAATGTCAAAAACATTTAAATAATTAACCTTAACCCTTTGTTTACTGAATTTCTTAAAAGATTTGAAAATCTAGGCGTCCATGTTGGTCTTATATCATCGTATAGAGTTGTCTCTAACAAGCTTCCAAAAGACAAAAAAACTTGTGGTGCCATTCAACAATTAAAAACAAACTTCATAGAAGTGGACTTGAAAGTCACAATAGGTTTCAAAGCGTTTAATTAATACAGTACCATGAGAAAATTTACGGGACTTAAGTAAGTAATAAGACTTATAAGTATAAATAAAGGGTTAAAACGTAGATGTCATCCAAAACTGGTTGTCGAAGGAACGTAGAATGATAGTACACTTTGTGGAGTAGCAGGGACGAAAACGTTCTATAAAATATATACACCTCGTTATTTTTTTTTTATTAATCGCGGTCAATCCTCAGCTGGAATATCGGCAATTTCACGTGGCACAGGCTCGATACAATTGAAACTCCCGTTACGAGGTACATTTTCGCGAGAAAAAAAAAGGAACCATTTAACAATACCCCCCGTTACATCGATGGACCCAGGTCGCACGCATCATTTCTCACGTACGTGCGCTGTGCACGCAGAATAAATAGACGTTCGATTCGGCGCACGCGAACCGGGTCAACGTTTCGATTAACGTTCATCAAACAACGAACGCACCACGGTGCAGGACAGTAATCATTTCTGCGCTGACCGATTTTTTGACGCTTTGACAAGCTTTCAAATAATAGTCCCGGATACCGGACGGCCACCCCGTCGGATTTTCAACATCGATAAATCTCCATCGGGCCGCTTCAATCTCCGTCACCGGAATCCATCTTCCACCGGCCGGTATCACAAAAGATATTTCCTTGGTAAATCAGGAAATTCGTCGAGCTATAAAATTCTGTTCGTGCACCCGTGCCTGGGATATTTACAGCCGCTTCTTCTCATCCACCTGTCGGTAATGTCAATACGTGTCGAACACGGATCTCTGAGCGGCTTGTTTAATGTTTCATTTCGCCTGTTTCGCTCGAATGCAAATTGTCGCGAGATTGCGAAGCGGTGGAAACAAAATTGATTTAATCTGGATAGGGGTAGTAATTGGTCGTCCAGGTTTTATTTGCTTTTTCGTCTATTCTCCTGCCACTGAAGAAGTCGATGGCCTTGTATTGGGATTCAATACCAGAAATAGTTTTCGAATTTGCAAGTGTAGCTATAGATATTCTTTTATCTATTCTCTAAATAAATAAAAAGAGTTCATTAAATCGATTTGAAAAGGGACATTCGAGTTTCTTAAACACATTCAAGGTAAAATTATTCCTAACTACTCCCTACCTACAGTCAGTGTAATAAGTATCCGTACAGGAACCATTTATTTTAAATGGGGAGCTGTACGAATACTTTTTACACTGACTGTAGATCTCAAGTTGCAAAAAAATATTATTTCCAAGAAGTTCCGGAGGACAATCATTCAACTTCTCACAAAGTTCAACAAAGTAAACGACCGTGAACCGCCGCCCAAACGACGTACAAGGAGTCTCGAGACATTTTCCAGAATTAAATTGCTCCTTTCGAAAAAGAGGAAAAACAATCCTGAGGCGTATTACGTACAACTATTCAGCAACCGGTATTCTTTCGCTAAAACGCAATCACGCGATCATTGCCTCGAACAATGCCTGCGAGTATCGCCATATTTAAGAATCGTCTGGTGGATGGAAGGTCATTTTGACCCGCCTGATTCCCTTTCAAAATCGCATACTTTTCGCTAGAAAAAATTAGACAGAGACGATGGAGAGGTTTTTCTTTTATGTATCTCTGTAACCCTTAGGTTACGCCATAGACCATGAATAATAGAACACAGGGTTAACTCAAACCTAATCCAGTTATACATTAACTATTATTATTATAGAGAAAACGTAGTTATTTTATGCTTGATGTTAGTTTTGTTTCCTAGTAAAGGAGAAACTTTTCCTACCAAAAAGTCACTAATTTGGAGGTCAGCGTGAACTAGAGCATTACCGTGGTGTAAGAACCAGGCCGCATTAGAGAGAGGAGTTCAAGTGCTCTTCTCATAATTCTTTCTCCGAGATGAACTAAAACAAGGCGATGATAATTCTGGTTAATTATTTGATTTGGTCTCACAATGGATCAAGCGTTGAATATCGAAAAAATCAATAATCATTGTTTCAATCTCCGCATATTTTATTCGCTCGAAGCGAATTTGCTGTTACATTCCGAGGATTATTTCTCGGCGTAAGGGTCGTAACTATAAACTCATGTTTCGTCACCAGTAATAAAGCATTTCGTGAAGTTTGGGTCGTTTGCAGCCCTTTGTTTAAGCACAGCACAAACTTCTTGACGATTCCTCTTTTGTTCGCAACTGAGTAATCTCGGTACAAATTTGGCTGCGATCCTTCTCATGTCGAAAGTAATAGATAAAATTTTGCATTGCGTACGAAATACAAATTTCTTATCTACTGATAGGTGACTGATTATTCCTTGGTTTCTTTCAAACACGTTGCCCATTCGTGATTGCTGACTTTACGCATTCTTGGCGTAATATGCAAAACATATGTACAATATATTCCATAAAATAATATAATAAAATTAACGTTTAATTTTGCATATACTCTGCATGTATTTAACAAATGTTCCCCATATTTGCATATGTCCTGAATGTTGGAAACCGCACTCTATTTATAAGCTATATTAAATTATATTTTCAGTATGTTTTCCATGATTCGTATTCGAACTGAGTGTATTTTAAATGAAGATTAATATATATACTTTCACGTAAAAATTAAGTCCATGACCTGTAGTATTTAATAATTCTGTATAAACTCGATGACTTCGATGACCTGGGTCCTCGTTCATGTTCTGACTTCCGAGTGGCACTGTCGCAAAATAAACATCGTAAGCAAACATTGAGAGTTAGAAAGTCTATTATAAATTATATTAATATCCCACACGAAGGATCCAACAATAACCATCATTTTAGCAAACTGATATCCTAACAAAACTTTGAAAAATTCTAAAACCTAAGTATTTATCACAGGTAAAAATAGTTTTCTCCTAATACGTAATATCATGTAACAATCTACACAAAGGTATACAAAACTCAGCTTCTACAAGTGCGAAGCCATAAACATTGTGCTACACACTAAAACCAAGAATAGAACACCGGTTAGGTTATTTTTACTCAAGTGCTCAAGTGTTAAGGGTAGATCGAGGTCTGCAATTGTCAAACTACCCCCTCTTTCGAAACCCCGTCGCTTCGTTAATTCTTCCTCTTCCAAGGACCGCCGCGACTCGAAGTGCTCCTGACTCCCAAAACTTGTCAACCCCCGACGGAGATATCAATTTTTTTAAAGCGATTAGGGTAGTCGCGCGTCTAAAAGCGGACCGGGCGCGTTCGTCCGCGATCGCCGCAACCCCGAGGTTGTGTCCGTCTCCCTCCAACGTTTCAACGTCTCGATGAGAGCGTCCTTCTCCATGCTCTTACCCCGTTGGTCGTGCAGCCGAACCACCCCTACGGCGGCACTTTATTTCAACCTCGGCACCAACGCGAAATGGGTGGACGCGGGGTTGGCGGGTACGTGCCAAAAGGGGCGAGCGAGACCTAGCTGAAGCGAGAACGAGAGGCTCGCAGTGGGGGTGGCACGAGGGTTGGAGTCGGTTAGACGAGTAGGGTGACGGGGTGAGGGAGGGGGGAAGGGCTGACTGGTGTTTCTCCGCGAACCCCTCCACCCCCCACCTTGGCCGCACGGGCGCCAACGTCAAGCGCTTTCGAGACGTTAAGGCCGACACTCGTGCGGCGCACTTCGGCCCGACGACATCGGCCGCGTTCGTTGGACACGTGCGTTTCGGTACCCTTCGGAGCAACCCCCATCGAGGAACGACGACACAGTCGCGCGCCACGAGGTCGTACACGAATCATCCCCTCGTTAAACGTTCCACGGTCACGGTTCTCTAATTCGTGTTCTCCCCATTTCTTCTCTCTTCTTGGTATTTTTTTCGATCCGTCGATTTGTCAAATTGATTTTTTTTCGAGTGCCCTTCTCCCTCCCTCGCACATCACGTGGCGTGACAAAATACGTTTCAAAGTGACGATGTGCAAACCTTATCGCGACGGAGGGTGAGAAAGTGTGACGTCTATATGTAAATTGTATTTAAAGTGAGACACTGCGACACGGTGATTCGTCTTGGTGAAGAGTTGAACCGGTTCCTCGATGCGCCCTTCTCTGGAGGGCGCAGCCTGTACGCGGTGGGAAGTCGAGGACCTTTGACGAAAGCTCGCGGGACAGAGTACGAGCGAGCGGAGTTGCGGCGCTGAATAGGCGTACCGGGAGCTGGAGACTACGCGGACGACACAAGTCTTTGACGATCGACGACGACGGGGGACCATGAAGAAATCTTACCTCGTTTTCGTGAGTATCGAGTGAAAGTTCTTTTTCCCCTTATCTTGTAAGAGCAAAGGACGGGCTGATTGGAGTGTGCACCGTTCTCCGTCTTCGCTCTCTTTTTTCGTTCGTCTTTCGCGCGATTCTTCGGGGAGTTTGGCACCCTCTGGAACTCGAACGATGGCGTTTGCACGCTTCCCTTGGCTCATTCTTGCTCCTTGCCGAAGATCAAAGACCACCCTCGTTTTAATCTGCCAATGGCGGAACCGTGAGAGTCCTCCCAAACGAACTTCGTTCTCGCTTTAAGAGGTCACCGTGTGCCCTTTTCGAGCACCGTCGTGTCCCTTTTACGCGCGACATCGTGTCCCTCGTTCTGACCTTTCGCCTCGATCCTCTCAATGGTTCAAGAACGACGAAATTAACGTACGGACCACGTGACTCTGTTCACTCGGGAAGGGAATGGGGTCAGTCCGTACACGCGATCCGCGCAATGTCGATTTCGAGACTTTTCGGAGCTCGAGGAATCCGCTTGGGTGTTTTACGAGCGAAATTTCACCTTTCCAAACGGGCCACCTGAGACCGACGGTCTTGCAGACGATCCAACATGACGCTGGAGATTAAATTGGTACTTGGGAGATCGGTTCTGGCTGATTCCGCGGTCTGTTAAAATTCATTTGTAGCGAGATGAAAATAATTGAGTGGATATCAGGGGTTTGGGAATAATTAAGTTCCTTGGCGATCTTCGGAGCAAAACGGAGTTACGATCGAGTTTGTAAATCAATTATAAAGTTCTTGTAATTAATTCACTACTTTATGTAGACAATTGAAGATGTTTCTCTTTTCCTAGCACGTATTGCAGATAATAAAAAATTACTTAAAGTACAGAGACATTGAAGAACTACTCTTTGATTCAACCGGTGACCAGAGAGGTCGTAATTAGTATCAGTACTTTTTTGACGACATTATTCGAGGGAAGTTTTCAGTGAAATCGTATACGTTTCACCGAAGTTAGAGCGACAGCTTGAATTCCGACTGCGCGGTATGTTTTTCACCGTTGATATTTCGAGTCGGAAATTTGGGTTACGGTAAATCAGAATTTGAAAGCGCAGTTGCATAGACTCGGGATGAATGATCAATTTTCCAAGCTTGTACAATATTTAGGTCGTGCGCACGATACTGCACGAGGGATTGTCGCATAAAAGTAATAAGGCAAAAATGAGAGATAAATTCGCGGACAAAGGGCGTGCTTCGCGAAACCAGTCATCGTTGATTACGGTCCGAATACGAAGCAAATTGCTGCCCGATTCGATGGCAATATCAACTGCTATCGAATTCCGTATGATAAACTCCAATTTTGTGACGCGTGCTTTCGACTGTTTGAGGTCCTCTGGACGCGTCCAGGGTAAGAAGTAGAATGTTAGACTCTAGATGAAACGTGGATTTGCATATCTTAAAAAATTAGGGGACTACGCGTGCAATTTTCTCTTCTACGCAAACACATTACTCTCCTTCGTAATTGCTTCTAAATAGAATTTATGTATTTATAGAAATATGTGAGTTAAGATCGAACAAGTTTATTCTATGCGTGTATGTAGAATATTAATACAATGCTATTCTATCTCGTGCGCCACGAATGCATAAAACACGCAGTTCGTTTCTTTCTCGAAACGAACAAACCCTCGTTCTAATTGTCATTTTCCATCGGGCACTGAGAGTGTCCGCAGTCGAACATTGTCGTTCCGGAAACGCGTGATACGGTATCGTTCTAAACTCTGCATTCACCGCGTTCTAATTAATATCTCCGCCAGTGTCGCGAAGTTGGCATGGAGCGGCGGATTTCGCATCAACGGAATCGCAGTCGCTCGCAACTGCATCCACGGTACCTGAAGAAAGTTATATGCCTTTTGAATCGCATTGTACGAATTTTGGGCCATTGCTGTTTGACGCTGCAGAAACTTGGCCGAAACTTACGAGCGTCGCTCCGCTGCGTACAATGCTGGAGGAAAGAGCTTCCTCCAGCGCTTCCCTCGTTTCGTAGGAGTGTTTCGAAAAGAACTTGCGAATGTGCAAAGCCAACGTATGGCCTGCCTCTGGCTACCCATTGGACGCATTCCTCGGTTACTCTGATTCTCAGGAATGCTCGTCGTGACGTTTTCATCGGAGATGAAATGAAAATATTTTTCGTTCTTTTTATTAACAGAAAATTTACTGGCTCTTGGAGCCAATCAGCAAATTTAATCAATGTAGATGTCGGGTGTGTGGACAACACTGAGCAGCGTTTCCATTGACAATTACAATTCATCATTTACATTTGTAGATCAGTTGACTTTTGTCTCTTTAGGCATCTCGTTTTTGGTGCTTAACTCATTTAGCATCTTAGCTAGTTCCTTGGGATGATTTGTTATTTTATTTTTATATATAGTTGTAAATTTCTTATTCTGGACGTGCTCGTTGACATGTATCCCTAAATCTTTATCGGAAGGTATCGCTACAGATATATCATGGTGAAATGAAAATATGAACTCTAATTCGTGTATTCAATCGAGAAAATTGTTGAGAAATATCGAAGATCGATAGAGTATGTTGATATAAAGTTAGTTTGTTTTTATTTTGAATATTTTATTACCTTGAGTGAATATAGATCGCACCGCTTGGTATCGATTAGAATTCCTCTTTAAAAAAACAAGCCTCTTTGTCCAACCCAATATTTTCACGCGACAAGTCTCTTATCCTTTCTGCGAGATTCTCAGCGAGAGATACCCTACTAAGGAACTTTGGAATCCGTCTTCATCGGCGAAGCGATGAGGAAAGATTAAAGGCCCAAGATACAATTCTCATTGAAAGAAGACGAACTCGGTGGAATCCTCGGCTGCGTCGATTTTATCTTTTTTCCTCATCTATTGTTTCAAAACTTCACGAATACTTCTCGAGCACTCCAATCTTCACGCCTATCGCGTTCGGAGCTCAACCCCAAATATTTCTGACCCGGTTTCAATTCTTTGGTAAACAAGCGCGGGGACGACAGGCCTCGAGAACCATCGAGGACAACGCCGAGATCTCTGTTACTTCTGTTAGGGAATTTTCTCACCTTCCTTTCGGGAGACATTTCTCGTCTCGACGAGAGTCTGCTTTAGTACCTGGCGATTTTGCGTGACCACCCTTGTAGCCAGAGCCCTCACCAGTCGAGGGACCATTGTAAGGCCTCTTCACGGCGGACCTGTCGTCTCTTCTCCCCCCTGCCACCTGTACCTGGCCTAAAGGGCTCGGGGAAGGTGTCTCGGACAATGGAGTCGGAATCAGCACGAGCCAACCGCCCGCAAACACCCAGCAAATACAAGTTCGTGAGCCAGTAGGAGATGAACGGATAACGGGTGGCGTGAAAACTGACTGCGGCGCGCGAAAGAATTTCGAGACAAACGTTTTGAACGTTCGAAAGAGCGGAGTTGAGCCAAGATTTTCAAAATAAGATAGGTTACATTGAGATTTCGAGGGATGATTTAGAAAATGTTGATGCAAAGGTAGGAAACCGAAGACGAGAGGTTCTGCTGAAAGTAAAGAAGATAGCAAACTGCATCGAATTCTAGAGAAATTAAAAAATGTGAGAGGTTCTGAAAGTCGCAAGGTTTCAGACTTTGTAGAGATCGCAAGCATTTATGTCGCTGCTGTGACATAGAAGCCTCAGATTTATTTCTCGATCACAAACGTATTCGAACGACTAAGTAATGGCGTACCATAGATATTCGTACCTTCTGTGTCTATTACAAGAGTTAGTATCAATTAAATGATAGGTTTGATATTTTCAAATAAATATTTCATTATAAATACACCCTCGGTCAGAAATATGTGGAGACCTACTACCTTCAACGAATAACTAATATACACCGTAAATAATTACTATTCAACTTTCGTTGCTAAATTCCATATTGGATGTCTATTTAACAACATTTAATAATATTAAATGTTTTGAGTGACATATTCAATTTTATACAGGAACTATGGGATCGTTTAGATAGTAAAGTTCAGAAAGAATTTTCAATATATTAAAAACATTTATGACGAAATATTACAAAATAAATGAGATAATATTACTTCGGATATAATGAAGAAATTAATACTATTCAAGTCTGATCAAAGAAATTTTAACATTATTTAGTCACCTCTATAGTCTTTTATCATTACTAATGCGATATTAAAGAAAATCTATTAATAAAATATATTCGCTAATGCAACATGAACATATCGAAACAAATGATATAATTGATATTAATAGATTCGCAACTTTTATTAGAGATTAGTTTCTACCAAGGAAGTGCCACATACTTCTGAGCAGGGGTGCGTGTACATAAATAAACATTACACTTGTATATTTTTATAATGAAAAATTTACTTGAAACCATCAAATCCATCATTTCATTTAGACTTTCTTCGATGGACACAGGGGGTAAGAATATTCATAGGACTGACTGTATTTATTAAATAACCATGATGTAATAATTTCGTAAACCGCTGTAAGTCGAAGGGAGACGGAATACTCGCGAGGGTGTGGTGTCGAGGAAAAAACGCTGAAGTGCTAGCCGTGTTAATGACGACACCGTTGGGATCACGAGTGGGCCGACGCTTGCAGATTCTCGCGGACGTTCTTGCACGATGGGAAATAGTGCTTGACATGAAATTATTTTTTCCTCCCGTATCGATCACGTGTTTCGAGAACGGTCTGCAAACACGGGTGTGTCATTACGAGTGAGCGTCGCGCACAGGCCTGGAATCGGGGCAAAAAAGATAATAGAAGCGGTTCGTGTAATCGCGCGACCCATTTGGCTCTCGGACGCGGAGCAGGAATTTTCGAGTTTGCAAAAATAATAAATATTCTCCGAGGCAGATAGTGACCATCTTCCGACTGTGTGTATAGGACTACAATGATTCATTCTCGAGGTAGGTAGCTGTGTTGTGTACTCATCAAAGTCTTGCGTAAGACTTGTTTACGTACCAAAGCAGTGTTTCTCAGACTGTGGAGTTGGGCAGGATCT